CAAATGGAATTCCAACAAATTACGCTTCAGAATGCTGAACTACAACAGAAACAACTTAAAGAATTACTCGTAAATGCATTAAAAGGCTCAAACTCTAAAAAAGATACAATATTCTCCCAGAGTACAATCTATACTTCAATGGAAACCTTTGAATACGTACCAGAGAACGACAACACGTTCGACGCTTTTTACAGGCGCTACGAAGAGATTTTCAACGTAGACTGTGAACAATGGCCCAGTAAAAAAAAAGGTACGTCTACTATTGAGAAAACTGGGAACTACAGAACATAGTAGGTTCGTAAACTTCATACTACCCAAGAAAACCACTGACTTGGATTTTTCAGAGACTATTAAGCTCCTATCGGAATTATTCGGGCCTAACACAACCTTGTTCCACAAACGTTGGAAATGCTTGAACACAGTCAAAGACAACCAGCAAGATTTTCTAACGTTTGCAGCATCGGTAAACAATCTCTGTAATGATTTTAAAGTAGCCGAACTGACTGCCGATTTCAAGTGCTTCATTTTCGCACAAGGTCTAGTATTAGCAGAAGACGCCGAAGTCAGACGACGGGTACTGACCAAACTTGAGAACGAACAAGGATTGACTCTCCAAAAACTGGAAGAGGACTGTCAAAGAGTAATATCTGTAAAGTGTGACTCAAACACTATCGAGGAATCAGGTGTGGCTCATATTAATAAAATCAGAAGCAAGTCTACCTCCTATTCCCCTCAAAAAGACAAAAGGAAAATCTCATGTCCTAAATTCCGCAGTAACCAAAAACCAAATAGGTTAAAGAAACCGCCCGGACCATGTTACCATTGTGGTAAATGGCACTGGATGAAATTCTATCCAGTTAAGAACAAAAAATATTGCAAAAATTGCAATAAAAGTGGGCATACTTTAACTCGGTGCTGGTACGCCAACAGAACGAGAAAACCCAAAAATAAAATTAGGCAAGCTCAATCTGACAATATTATCGATAGGAATTTAAGGAAATATGTAACTGTGGATATTTTCAATAATTCCATTAAATTCCAGCTTGACTCGGGTTCCGATCTTTCAACCATTAACTGGCGTGCTTGGCGAAAATTAAACAAGCCAACCTTATTAAAAACGGATAAAACATCACAATCCGTAACTGGCGAAAAGATTAACATTTTAGGCGAGGTAATACTTACAGTAACACTAAATGGATTTACCAAAAAGCTCAAAGCCTACGTATTGAAAACTTCAGATAACCTATTTGGAACAGATTGGATAGATAAATTCAATCTTTGGGATTGCCAATGAGTACATTTTGTCGCAAGATAGAAAGTACAACGTCCAATTTGGTAAATCTCAAAAAGGAACTCAAACAACAATTTCCCCAGGTTTTTTCTGGCGGCCTGGGGAAATGTACTAAAATGAAAGCTAAGTTCAAGGTGAAGGACGGTGCACAACCGGTATTCAAAAAGAAACGGAATGTCCCTTTCGCTGCTCTAGAGCAAATCAACAAAGAGTTAGATAGACTCGAACAAGCAGGTATTCTGTCAAAAACAGATTTCAGCGAGTGGGCAGCACCTACGGTCTACGTAAAAAAAGAAGTCCAATCAAATACGAGTATGCGCAGATTTTTCTACAGGGTTAAACGATGCCTTGCAAGATAACCACTATCCTCTCCCAAGCCCTGAAGAAATTTTCAATAAACTCAATGGTAGAAAAAAAATTTTCTAAAATCGACCTCTCGGACGCATACCTTCAGATAGAGGTGGAAGAAGAAAGTTCCAAATTGCTCTGCATAAACACCCATAGAGGGTTGTACAAATGCAACAGACTGGCTTTTGGAGTAAAGGTTGCGCCTGCAATTTTCCAGCAGGTCATGGACGCCATGCTGGGCTACCTTGAAACGCAACAGCCTATTTGAATGATATACTGGTTACTAGTAAAACTACGACAGAGCACCGGAATCATATAATAAACGTATTCGAAAAGATACAAGAATACGGATTTAAGGTTAAGGAGGCAAAGTGTGACTTTTTCTTACCAGATATTAAATACTTGGGTCACATCATAAATAAAGACGGTCGTCGGCCGGATCCAGAAAGAGCCAACGCAATCAGAAACATGCCGGCTCCAGATAACGTTCAAGCGTTACAAAGCTTCCTCAGCCTAGCTAACTTTTACCAAGGGTTCATTAAGAACATGCAAAATTTGAGAGGGACTCTCAACCAACTCTTAAAAAAGGACAAACCATGGTCATGGACCCCGGAATGCCAAGACGCATTCGAGAAGATCAAGAAAACGCTTACTTCAGACCTCTCCCTCACTCATTACGACCCTAGTCTCGACATCATAGTCGCAAGTGATGCAAGCTCGTACGGCATCGGTGCTTGCATTCTACATAAACTGCCAGATGGTTCGCGAAAATCTGTGGTTCACGCATCAAGATCTCTACTTCCAGCTGAGAAACAATATTCCCAAATAGAGAAAGAGGCTCTAGGGTTAATATTCGCTGTGACAAAGTTTCACAGATATCTACATGGGAGACGGTTCATACTACAGACGGACCATAAACCTCTAATTACAATTTTTGGTTCTAAAAAAGGTCTGCCAGTCTATACTGCAAATAGACTACTTCGTTGGGGAACGATTCTCTTAAATTACAATTTCAAGATAGAGTTCCTAACATCCAAAAATATTTGCCATGCAGACAGTTTATTGCGACTCATTCCAAAAAATACAGAAGTCTTTGAAGACTCCATCATTGCTACTCTAAGGACAAATTGTGAAATCAAAAACATGATCGCGAGTACCATAAGAGATCTCCCAGTTACTTTGGCCGACATAAAAAGGGAGTCTCGAAAGGATGAATTCATTCAATCCATAAAAAGCAAAATTCGCAATAAAGACCCCAATGTGCCTGAAGTTTTCTCCCTCTGCGATGATGTCCTATTATACAATGACTGCGTAGTGATTCCAAATCAGGGATTTTCACATGGGACATCCGGGGAAGAACCGTACGAAAAGCCCCATGCGCTGCTATGTTTATTGGCCAAACATGGACAAGGACATAGCAGACATGATAGAATCATGCAAAGGATGCGTGCTTGCAGCAAAAGCTCCAACCACGACGTGCAGATCATGGCCAAACACAGACCATCCATGGCAAAGAATTCATGTCGATTTTGCAGGACCTATAAACAACATGTACTACCTCATTGTTGTGGATAGTCACTCAAAATGGTCTGAGGTCCTACAATGCAACCACAAACTGTACGATCGGATTTATACACGAGGTATTCGCGCGTTTTGGCGTGGTAGATTGTGTAGTTACAGATAATGGCACTCAATTCACATCAAGTGAATTTAGAGAATTCTGCAAGTCATATCAGGTGGACCACATTACAACGCCTCAGTACCACCCTAGGTCGAATGGTCAGGCCGAAAGGTTCGTGGACACTCTAAAAAGGGCTTTAAAAAAGGCACTAGGCACACCGACAGGTAGAGCATTGTAACAATTTCTGCAGGTGTATCGGATAACCCCTAATCCGAACACGCCTATGGGAAGCTCGCCTGCAGAAACAATGTTCGCAAGGAAAATCAAGTCTGTCTTCGACAAACCTATTCCACGGCAAGCAAAGTTAAAAAAAAAAAAACGTATCGCCACATCAGAAATATTTCAATCCTGGCGATAAAGTCTTTTTCAAGGCTTACAAAAACAACATAACATTCTGGGAAGTAGGCACCATAAAACAAAGAATTGGCGAACTGGTCTATATTGTCCAAGGACCGAAAAACACTCACAAACGCCATTGGAACCAGCTCAGAAAATGCCGTTTGAAGGAATCGGAGGAATCACTACAAAATAGCTGTGAAGAGCCGATCGACGTAATTTTCGATCACTTCGATCTCGACACGCCCCAAGTCTCTCCTGAAGTGCGACGCTCAGGAAGGAAAAGGAAATTTACTCAATCGCTCGACGTAAATCCCAAGAGAAAAAAGTATTAACAGTTTTATGTTTTTTTTTCTCCTTTTCAAAAGAAAAAAAAGAAAACTCTTGGAAGGGGGGTGTTGTGAGACCGTAACATACCTACAACATGGACTCTTCCAGGACTATATAAAGTATGCGATATAACACTCTAGGAGAAGAGGAGGAAAGAGAGAGAGAGAGAGAGCGAGTATTCTAATACCGTAGTATCAGCCGCGTACGACTACCAATATTGGACACTAGCACTAACACTCTCTTTGTAACCTTTTTGTTTAATATATCTTTCTTACCTCTAATCCGTGTTCTGTGTTTTCCTTCTGTGGTCCCGACTTTGGGCCCACATCAAATACATTGGATACATGAGTTTTCTAAATAAGTTAAATCTTAACACCCATAAAATAAAAAAAAAATGATGGAATTTTCCTTAACCCCAACATCTCAAAATATCAAATTTTTCTGGACTTATAAATTAAGTAAATCAATTTCAAAAGGTTATTCTAACATCGCTTGAAAATGGAACGGAACTTCGTATTTTAAATTTAATTTATGTGATTGAATTTAAATTGAGGTTTCAGTTTTGAAACAGGGGAATTTCCGTGTTGCGATGATTATATATTTAAAAACAAAAATAATTATAATAATTATAAATCTCATTGCTTTTTTTTTTTTATTATATATATATATATATATATATATATATATATATATATATATATATATTCTTGTCTACGCGTTATTATATATCAAAACTGATTTTTTTTCTTTCGCTACAAAATAAATGAAAAGCTAATCATAAGCGATCATCTGTAGCATGCTTTACATGTCCATATTGTACGTTTTTGACATTCCTGTCTATTAATTGTATATAGGTTGTACTTACTCTAACCGGCTACATTCATTTGTTTTTTGAGGCGAATATTTGTGCTGTGAGCTACCAATTGCAACTTTATAACTGAATTCTAGTTCTCATGTATTTATTCAATAGTTACAGCTTATAGCTGCCCATTGATATTGAGTCTAAAGAAATGTATGTCTTTTTCAGATATTCCTCAGGGCACTCGAGTATGGTGTTACTACACAAACTGGGCACAGTACCGACCCGGTGACATGAAATACACTGTTAAGGACATGGATATTTCCCTGTGTACACATGCAGCCTTTGCTTTTGCAGTCATGTCGAAGCAAAATACTATAAAAGCCTATGAATGGAATGACGAGGACACTGCTTTCAGAAAAGGAATGTGAGTATGATATATATTGTCTGTAAGTAGAGCTAGACATTAAAAAAATTCATATCTTAAGAGCACTGATATTACGTAACAGTTTAGTACTCATTTTTCATGGTTGTTAATATTTTGCTTAGCAAAAGGCACTTTTGGCTATATAAATGCGATTTCGGATTTCATTATTGCACTTTCCGTCGCCTGTTAAAAATGTTCTCAGATATTTAAATTGTTGTTCAATTTTGGTATCTCCAATTTGTATTGTTTCTGTTGTGTTCCTTTTAGTAACAACGATGCATCTTCTTCCGTTGATGATTTCAATCTTGCTTAGGTACGTGGGTGATACTTCAATTTTTTTTTACACAACTGAAGAAGATGCTCCTATATGGATGTGAATACTGGACAGTCTCTTCCAAGATGAGCTAGAGACTTGAAGCCGCAAAACCATGGTACTACAGAAAGATGCTGATAATACCATGAACAGAACATATGGCTAACAACGAAGTTTTAGAGAAAATGGAAACACAAAGGACACTTATACCTAATATCAGAAAGAGACAGTTGAAATTTCTAAGGCACATAATGAGGAAAGCGGGCTTGGAAAATTTGATATGCACAAGACAAATTGAAGGCAAAAAGAACAGAGGAAAACAATGCATAACCTACTTAGCGAGCTTGAGTAAACAAAGTTTAGGAGAGATAGCAAAAAGACAATATTTATTAAGAGCTACAAAGGACAGAAAATTATGGTGACACAGCACATAGAAGAAGAAGAAGAAGAAGAACAACAACAACAACAACAACAACGACGACGACGACGACGCGTAATATCGAATCATGTAAATCCATTTAGGCTATTTCACAAAAGAAAAGATATACAAGAAAAATATTTCATTTTTAGGTGTCCTGGCCCTCATCTAGACAGAGGATATATTACTAATGTAATTCAACACATACGAGGGATTATATCTAAATTCTGAGTTCAGTCATCCCATCTGTGCTGAAATAAAAAGAATTAGTGACTTGCATTCAACACTAGACTCAAGTTATCAACAGTAAAATCCCACAAAAGCTGGAAGAAGATTAAAAGTCGCGTCCTCTTAAGAGTGTTTCTCAACACTTTTTTTTAATTCAGAACGCACTTGCAAAATAATTAAAACTTTAGGGTGCACTTTAAATTTTAATAAGGATAGATTAGTCATGAAATTTGAAAATAGGAAAATAATAAAGAAGTCTCCTGAAATAAGCATTTATTTTTAAGATATTACATTTAAGCGGGAAAGTTTTCATATAAAGGGATTTATGAAGAATCAGCTATTTTTTAGAGAGGCCTATAATGACTGAATTAAATCCCTTGAGGAAGGCAGAGGGGAAGGATTTTCCACAAGGATAAATAGCATGGACATCGGATTATATGTGGCAGCAATATTCTAAGCATGGAGGAATGGTAGACTTATAGCTATGCAAGATAGATCCCGGAGAGAAAAATTGTCTCGCACGACACTGTGAACCAACTTTCTTAGCAGCTGACCTAGAATTCTTATTACTATAAACGTTATATTTAGTGGGTTACACGTGTCTGAGTATTCATCCCTGATTTTTAAATACACGCGAAATATAATGTTTATAATACTAAGAAACTAAAAGTATACATAGTCAGATGCAAAAATTTCCATATTATATTTATCGAAATTTTAAAATTTAATGCTGACTTAAGAAAACAAGTCTACAGAGTAAAATGAGTACGTTTTAGCGCCCCTCACAGAAGAATTTTTAATAATCTACAAAGAATTACGAGCATTGGCATTGGTTCAATACCAGGACTATAGGTGAATGATAATTGCTATGGTAACATTAATGGTTAAAAGACATATTTGTGGATTTAAAAACCGAAATTAGAAATGTTTTACTAAATATTTATATGAGTATGTTTCGGAAAATTTCTATGTTATGCATGAAGTGAAGAATCAATGTAAATGTTGCTAACAGAATACAATTATAGGCAACAAAAAAAAGAATGGTTTTATTGTAAATTATTTTATTACAGATTGCATGAGAAAATTAGAAAGCACTTTTAGGTGTAATGTAAATGCATAGATAATGATATTACTGAAGAAAAGGATCGTAAATTATTTTACTACAAAAATTAACTGGAAATCACGAAGAAGGGGATTGTCAATGGTCAGTAACTAATATAAATATTAATGAAAGGATACTTTTAGCAGTAGGCCGCATGATTTATAACTGATAACAAAGCGGGCCGCACTGCTAAAAAGATTCAAGGTAATTTTTCGTAGTTGGTACCTCAGCTACCTTTGCTACAGAAGACCACCTGCGTAAGCATGTACCTTAGAAAAGGTAGGAAAGTTTTATGTTTTGGAAAATATTTTTTTATAATTAAAAATTGAAGTCTTGGTAGAAGCAAAACTAGCCAGTTGTCACACACTCAATTTTTATGTTCTTATGTCATGTGTGTGTATGTGTGTTCGCTGCGGTCACGAGAATGCAGTTGTGTTCTTATGAGGTGACGTCTGTTCACGTAACCTGGACCAAATCTCTGACGACTCTCTTTGCTGGGCTAGACACCCTTTTGTGAGTTTTGGACCCTGTAGGCCTTCGTTTACATTGATACGACCTAAAACTTTAAAACGATATACCTAATTTCTCCCCTCCGATCGCCGTAATCTTATATCATTTCAATAACATATGGAATTTTCAGTCACTCTCTTTCTGTAAGTACAAAAGAGTTTTGGTTGGATAGTATTAATATAAACAAACTCAAAGATTAGGATTTAAACATAAACCATACGGCTTTCTTTGTTTAAGAGAATTTAACTCATCCTTTTTTGTAGGGATATAAGCGTTTTCGACGGATAGTATTAATGTAAACAAACCCCAAATTTTATTTCTAAGGACAAAATCTTCGAAGAATACATTAATCATGCCTTCTTCTTATCGGAGAGAAGTGGATAGGTTGGAGAAAATTAGGTTTTTCTCAATTTTACTGAATTTTGGTTAGTTATTTCTGGGTTAGATTCTCGTTGGAACTGTTCTAAAATTGATTTTATTTTTTGAAACATAATTATTAACTCGTTTCTTTTTACATTTTTCTCTCAGCCTTTCAGTCTACTCTTGAGAATTTTAACAATTATTATCCATTTAATAGTCCCTCCAGATCATTATCCAGGAATTTCATGCAATTACACGTTTGAACAGGGCACGTTTACATCTACACATCCCAAATTACAGCACCTGGTATTCACAAGCTGTCACCCATCAAGGTAATAAACATAAGCTCGATGTTGCCTAACTTCGTTGATCGTACGAGAACTGGCGTTTCAACGTCATATGCCCGTAAAGAGTGTGGCGAACGCGCGTCAGTACACAAAAGAGGCCCCGACTCGCATGCGAATGTGTCTGTCAAAACCAGTTACATCTGGGTTTTCTACGTTGGCAGCAGAACAGCTTGGCATGTCCATATACGGGCCTCTCTGCAACTAGATCCTTGTTTTCTGTCACCTGTCAATAAAAGCAACAGGAACAGCAGCAGTCAGCAGTGGGCAGTTGGCGAGACTCTGTCTTGTAAAGTCGGTCCCTTGGATATTTTTTGTTCTTCAAGATGCATGTTGCTCACAGACAGGGTTCGGAGACTGTGTTGTTTTCGTTTTCTCCCGTCTCTTTCTCTTCTCTGCCTGTTACCCCCGCAGTTCTTGGGAGAGCAATGAGTTGGGTGTTTGACCCAACATCAACACACCCTTGCTGTATTTTACAACAAAGTGTTAACTGTATAGATAAAATGGGAAATTCTTCATGAAGAAAATATAACAAACGCAACGGATTATATTATCTTCTTTGAATATCTTTTTCTCTTAACCCTTTGAACCCTACGTTCCTGAACAATTTTAGCCCCTCTGCCTGAGCTCCTGAATCAAGATTCGCAAATAATTGGTATATAGTGTTTCACGGAAGATATAAAAATAGTTACAAGTGTTTACCCACCGTTCAACTGATGGCTGGGCATTAAGTCTTTTTCTATACCACCGGTAAAGCGGTGGTCACGGCTCAAAGGGGGAAAGTATATTTTAAGGAAATGACTGATGTACGCTTTTTATATAATTTTTAAGTACCCAGTAATCTAAAAAATGTTGGAAATATTCTCCATAATCTAATTTTAGGAATTTTGACTTTAAATTTGAAATCAATTAACTTTTTCTGCGGGGGGAGGGGTTCTAAAAATAGATGATTAGTACCCTTTGTTTAGTCATCTGTCATCGCAATGTAATTTTCTTTATTAAAAAATCTTCTAAAAATAAAATATACTTTTCTGAGATTTTATTTGAGGAATATTAACTGATTTAAAATATAATTAATCTGATTTGAAACAAATATTTTCTTTAAGCTGAAAACAGAGAAATGGATTTTAAATCAAACAGTAGCTGTGATTGTTTTCGCTCGTAAATCACTTAACAAGTGCTACTTAAGGTGTTGACAGTTTTATTGTTCTACGGAGACTTTATCTATTATTAACCCTTTCAGCCAACTAAATTCCTGGACAATTTTAATTTAATCCTTCTGCCTGAGCTCCTGTGTCAAAATTCGCAAATAATTGGTATGTAATGTTTCACGGTAGATATAAAAATAGTTACAAGTGTTTGTCCACCGCTCAATCAGTGGCTGGCCATTAAATCCTTTTTCTCTACCACTGTTCAGCCGGTGGCTGGGCATTACGCCATTTTTCTCTACCCCCGGTAAAGCTGTGGTCAAGGCTCAAAGTGTTAATGATTTAAAAGGCAGAATTATTTCTTGCGTGTGACAAAAGAGTTAATTGTAGAGATAAAATCCGCGATTCCTCATGCTGAAAATATAACCATTAATAATAATAATAAAGGATTAAAATATTACTGGTCAGTTTTATGTAACTATGTAGATAATTCAAGTGCCCTTCGCATAATGGCAAAAAGGAACTTTAGAAAATAGATGTCTTGCTAAAAATATTGTTTGTATAGACATTTTAGAGAGGTGAGGAAACTTATACTTAACATCAGGAAGAGGCAGTTGAAATTTTGGGGCATAATAATCAGGAAAAAAGGCTTAGAAAATCTGATACTCACTGGGCAGATTGAGGGAAAGAGGGACAGGGGAAAGCATTGTGGGACATACTTGATGGATGGTAGAACAGAGTTTGGAAGAAATAATAAAAAGACAGCATATTAAGAGCTACAAGGGACTGGAAGATTAGGAGGGCCATGATCGCCTACGTCCTGAAGGGACACAGCACATTAACGAAGAAAATAGAACTTTGATAACTTACATTTCTCTATTCTTAGAACGTGTGCTCGGCTAGTAAAGAAAATATAAACAAAGCAATTGCAAAAATTACTTGAATATTACCGACATTTATTGACGGTAATCAGCGGCAATTTTCTCACAAATAAAGAAGAGACTTGAAGCCACAGAAATATGGTTCTACAGAAGGATGTTGAGAATACCATAGACTCAACATGTGAGCAACGACGAAGTTTTAGAGAAAATGAAAACAAAAAGGGGCACTTATACTTAACATCAGAAAGAGACAGTTGAAATTTCTAGAGCGCATAAAGAGGAAAGAGGTCTTGGAAAATTTGATACTCACATGATATATAGAAGGCAAAAGGGACAGAAGAAAACAACACATAACCTCCATAACAAGATTGTGTAAATGATTGGCAGAACAGGGTTTAGAAGTGATAACAATACAAAAAGACAAATTTTACTAAGAGCTACAAAGAACAGGAAATCATGGAGAGCCATGATAGGCAACATCCTGAAGGGGACACAGCAAGTAGAAGAAGATGGAAGACTAGGATTTTAATACAGTCTAAATAATGCAGCCAAAAGATTTAACATTGATGTATAATGCAAATTTTTAGTTCTAATTTTTAAGAATTACAAAAATATATATGTGAAAACATTCAGATAGATTTTATTTATAGTTCGGATGTATGCATATATCATCATCAACAGCAGCAGGCATTTCTCGTCTAAAGAAAGACAAAGACCTTTCCTAAATTCTTCCGTGACGACAGTGACTTTACTATTCTCTGCTCTATCTTACCAACAAATCTCATCTTCGACCTGATCTTTTCTTACTGCGTTTTACCCACTGGATACCAATCAAGCAACCGTTTGCTCCATCTGTTATCTTTTCTTTCTTTTAAGTATCCCACCAATTAATATCAGTTAATCACTTCTATATTATCTCTTATTCCAATCCGTGTTAACGTCTTTTTCTTTATTTATAGTGATCATTAAAGTTACTCTTACCATCGATCTTTGTATATTTTTTTTAATTTCATTTCAAATGATTTGTTTAATTTCCATGTGTTGCACCCATGTCTCATAGCTAGTATTATATATTCATTATACATTTTATATTTTAAGCCTTTCGGTAAGATGCTTTTCATTATATCTCTTTTTTATTCAATACTTTCCACCATATTGGTAACGATGTGTTGAAACAGCTCTGCAGTTCTTACTGTGGCGTAGAGATTCGTGTAAATAATCCGTGAATTCATTTCCAAATAGAGAACGAGAGAAACAGTAGGATAAGTGATAACGTTTTGCTTTATTGTTTCGGATAAATACTTACAATGACTTAATTGCTACATTTAAACACTCTACAGTTCTTTTTATTTAATTCACTTGGTTTCCAAATGTATCATACTTAGATGTGAATATTACTTGTCAGATAGATAGAGAGATAGATTTTGAGTTTGGAGTTACAACGAACATAATTTCATCTATTTCTTATACCAATATATTTACCAGGTATTCCAAATTCACTTCTCTTAAAAATCAGTACCCGAACCTCAAAACGTATTTGTCTGTTGGTGGGTGGAATTTTGGAGCGGCACCCTTCACCTGGATGGCCAGTTCAAGCAGCAACCGAACAGCGTTCATCAAATCCACAATACCATTCTTACGTAAATACAAATTTGATGGCCTAGATGTGGACTGGGAATATCCCAGTGATGCCGATAGGCATGGAGTACCAGAGGATAAGGAACACTTTGTTATGCTACTTAAGGTAAGTATCCTTAAGTTTTTGTAAGTCCAACTTGATAAACTTCGTACAAACCGTTAAAATACCCGTTTTGTCTTATTTTAAGGTCTTAATAGCAAAAATAAGGCGGTCACTGATCTTTTTTGTACCCAAATACAAGTACCATCTGGAATAGTCATGCCGGTGGGAATTTTTCAAAAAGTACCTCATAATTTTGCAATAAACTATGAATATTTTTATTGCTCGACCAAGTAATCATAATGATTGATTTTTTTTTTTACGTCTTATCAATCCTTTGTAGGGTATTTAAAATCGAAAGATATTTTGGATTTTAAGAATAATTCATTTTTTGTGTGAATATTACATTAACAATTTTTTGAGAATGATTTTTCCAGATACAAGTCCTACTATTTAACCCATAGCTGGAGGAGAGGAATTCATTCCTTTCTCAACGAGATTTGCTGCAGAGAAAAAATATTTTAAAAATAATAAACGTGCTTTACTAAATAAGGCCCCGTACCACATCGGGTGTGGGGAAGGAAATAATGTAGTCGTGCCGGCATTTGTATTTGATACTAAATTGAACATAAAACGACAGGAACCAGTTCAGAGGCAGGGCATATTTCATACGGACAATTGCAAAGATACCATCGAGGTTGTTGGGAACAAGTTTAGAGATGAGCGTAAAAACCATTGACGGATGAATCACGAGTAGAAATGTAAGATAATTTGCGAGCAAAGCATTCTACCTTATCAGCAGAATATAATAGCACTTAAATACATTGAAGATAGAAGGTATTGAGGACTTGTTCTTATTTAACACACACTTATAGAGCCGCCAGCAGTCACGAAAACTAAACTTGTTAGAGGATATACGCTAATTTAATCTATTAGCGAACAAAGACTTAGGCTTGTTGAGGTTGTCCTTCTCTTAGACTGATATGCCAGCCACGTGTAGAGGAGCCCAATCAACTCTATTTAATACATAGCTCGTAGAAGAAGAGATGGATTCTTGCCTTTTTCTAAAGAGCATTTGATCGGAAGTGAACGCACCAGGCTAGTCTGAAATTTGAACACGGTTCGCTGATTACATTTTTCACGCCGATATGTTACGCTACCCCCACTTATCATGATGCTGGTTAGAGTTTGAATTGAATTAAGCTGAGAATATTGCTGCCACATATAGTCCCGTGCTCCTGCTATTTACTTTGAGCTCCTTGATAAAATCCAACGAAGAATTAGCAATATCATTGGTCCTGATCTGGCAGCTCGGCTTCGGTCACTTTCCCACTGCCATAAGGTTGCCTCTCTGCATCTTTTTTTTTTTATAAATACTTTCATGGTAATTGTTCGGATGAGCTCTTCGATATGTCATACTGTAAATATAGGTACCTCTATTATTTCGCGAAAATCTAATATAGCATGACAAGAACGGTCTGAAAATTACGAAAAAAAAAATTTTTTCATGATAAAAGTATATTTCATTATTGAAGAAGAAACACTAAAGTGTTTTTTGAGTAATTTTTTGAAATTTTTACTCATTCTTAGCATGTCCGAAATTTTAGTTAAAAAAAACTTGTTTACAGAAAAAAACGAAAAAAGCTCTATATCAGCCATATTTTTAAAAATTTTAAAAATAATGTTAAATTCTTCGTTTAAAATTCGTTTAAAAATTAATTATACGTATTTCAATATTTATTTGAAGAAATTTAGAAAATTTAAAGTTTATTTAAAATATTTTGAAAGAAACTTTTACTTACTTTCTTCGTAGAAAAATGTTTTTAAAGATAAAAGAGCCGATCTTCACGTTGCCGTTGATTGACAGAGTACTAAGTGATGACATCTATAAATTATTGACAGCTGACGTGAGATTCGAGTTCCCATACGTAAATTCAGAATGGACATATTATTTTTTTAAGCGGACCTACTTAAGTAGTAACTTGTAATATTTAAAGTAAAAAAACTTTCGCCATTACAATTTTTTTTTTTTTTTAACTACTATGTACCATAGGTTTTGTTGATACTCTCTGGAGAAATTTTAAATACTAATAAAAAAAAACTAAAATACAAGTGTCTGCACTGTTTTTTGAGGGCCCATATAGACCCCTCTAAAGTCAATTCAGATTTTGCTATTAAAAAAAAAATTCTATCCCCAGTAAAAAATAATCAAACATAGTAAAAGTCATTTTGTCACAGCCTATATTCTCGGAAAAAATAAATAAATGGATTCTTATATTTTTTATGTAATAAAAAATTACTTATCTGGAAAATACCAGGCAAAAGTTTATCTGAATCCCATGAAACTAGGTATTTTCTGTAAAAAAGAAAAACAATATGTTTCATTTAAAAGTAAAAATTGGCCAGTGTAAATGACTGAAAATTTTTTTAGTCATTTTTCTAGAGGCAAAATGTGGAAACACACAACCTGGGTTTTATAATTTAAAACCCAGGTTGTTTCTGTTCTTAATTATTGGATCGAATTTCCTACATTTTTCAACCAATTTCAACCAAACATTACAGGACTACGATGAAAACTAGATGAAAGTACCTATTTTAACTTAATGAAAATGATGCACACGTGTTTCAGCAGGAACAGTTTGCTAAATTAAGGGGCCGTATACAGCGAAGAACAACCCTTACAAAACATTGAAACTCAATGGACGTGACGTTATTTTTATTGCACGCACCAAACTTCCGGTCTTCCGTAGATTTCATTGGTAAACACATTATTGACAAATTAATTTTTTTTATATACGAAGACTCATTAGTTTGTAATAAGCTTTGGAAATTATAATCTGTAAATATATATCTACTTAAAAACAACATCCGTTAAGCTGTATCCCGCTTTTCCATAATTTTAGAAGAATTAACAACATAATGTAAAAATAAAAACAATGGTTGCGGAAATAAAAAAAAAATAATTGTAGGTAATTGTTTTAAAATTCATTTTCATCGAAATATCTTTTGCTTTCAGACAATATTGTCCATGTTTATTGGAATAAATAAAAGCAATTAAAATTTTTTGAAATTAAATAATATTTTTGTTTTATTGAGTTTTTGTATGTTACACTTCCAGAGACGATTTTCAGGTAGAAGGGCTCCAACTAAAAAAAACAAAAAAAACATGATTTTGTTTCCTCAAAGCATTGTGCTTTTAACTGATATAATCACTAAACTCCTAAAATTGAAATTATAGAGATTTTTCGTACAATTAGTTAGAGTGGGTAAATACATATAAAAAAAAAATTTCTGCGATGATATTTACTAAAAAAAATGTATTTATAATAAGTTCCATCATTTGTAAATAGTTTCTGAAAAAATTTCATTAAAATCTGAGACAATTATTTTCATTTTTGCAAGATTTTCCAAATTAATGTGTGTCAAACGGGGAAAAAAAACGCGCCCAAATGTTTAACGTTAATTTATCAGCCAAGCTGATAAAAAGAAAACAAGGTCTTTTAATCAAAATTTACAATGTTCTAAAAAAGAAGGAAAAATTTAAAAAAATAAGTAAAAAAATACTTTGAATCTTTCCTCTAAAAAGTAACATAAGCATTTAGACGCGAAAATTTTGTTTTCATCAACTGGCGTCTTTTTTAATCATGCTATGCTCTTTTTTTGCGTTATATGATCAACAGAATACCAATGTAAATACATATTGGAGTTTAGATTTTAAATTGTTTTTTTATTCCCCTCCTCTCTTCCCGCCACAGACCAGATTTGTATATATGGGGACTAGTTAGGACTTCATGGAGATTCTTCTGTATTATGGTGAATGTAGTAAGAATGGTAAGTAAGAATGCGATGTTTTGGTATTAGGAATATTGTGGTATGTTTGGGTCAGTGATTGTGACTAGCTAAGTTTAATGTTAAGACAAAAGAATGCTGTCCTTTGCACGGAAATGAAGAGATTAGGAATTTATCGATAATATTTATTATTATTAGCTTTTATGCAACCCGTGATATAATGGAAAGGTTTTATGAAACAAGCAACTACAAACTTTCTAATGAATATTAAAACATTGCTGCCACATATGGTCTGCTATTTACCTTGACCTGTTTGATAAAATCCAAAGAAGAATCAGCAATATTATTGGTCCTGATCTGGCGACTCGGCTTCAGTCACTTACCCACCGCCGTAAGGTTGCCTCTCTGTGTCTTTTCTATAAATATTTTCATGGTAATTTTTCGGATGAGCTATGCTACCTAGACATTTTTTTTTAATTTAAGCGCAGTACTAGAATGGCATTGAGATCTCATCAATTTACAGTTGAGCTGGCCAGATGTAGCCGTAAATTCTATGCTAACAGTTTCCTTTCTTGCTTCTGGAATTCCCTTACGACTATATGCTTTCCAGCCAACTATAATCTGCAAAAATTTAAATGCAATGTCAATCGCTATCTGCTGTCCTTCTGATTACTGTTTTTGTTCTCGCTCATTACTAATGTTTCTGTTTCTAATTCTTCCACACCTAGTAACTCCTTGTGTCTTAGTAGTTTTTACTGCCTTACATGGGGCGAACTCGATTAAAAAAAAAGGTATTTCATTTTTCTAAGCATCAAAAAACACACACCAAGTGGTAAAAAATTACCCAGAAAGGCTCTTGTTTACATAGCAGCAGCATTACAGTTAAGGAAGATTCAACAGTTAATAAAGATTCTGTGATATAATCCAATTTCTTATTAGGGTTTAATGCATTTATGTGGTTAAAAAAAAAGAAAGAAAAACACCAAATCTAACTGGACATTTATTCAGATCAGAGCAACAATCATTCAATTCTTTTTTTTTTCATGTTGATTCGTTTGATTGCTGTAAAAAGAAAAGCATATCGCAGAAATCGTAAATCTACATATTTTGCCGATCACATAACGGCTATAATAATTTTGTCTACGTCATTTTTCTTATACTACTGACTGAGTG